AGGACAAGTCCTGATAAAATGTACACCAATTTTTCCACTAAACTCTCATACTTAAATAATTCAAATACATATATACATAAATTTTTTCTATGGTTAAGACCTCACAGAAGTACTCCTGCTTCTCCATAAGATTTAATGATGTTCACTCCAAACATTGTATTTTTCTGCCTCTCATAAATTTCCTTTTCATAATTCTATATATACTATAATCTTGATATATTATCTATCATCAATCTATCTATCTATCATCTATCTATCTATCATCTATCTATCATCTATCATGTATCTATCTATCATCTATCATGTATCTATCTATCATCTATTATTTATCTATGTATCATCTATCTATCTATCTATCTATCTCTCTCTCTCTCCTCTCTCTCTCTCTCTCATATCTCACTATGTAACCCTGGCTAGCCTAGAACTACAGAGATCCACCTGCCTCTGCCTAACGAGTGCTGGGCTTAAAGATGTGCACCGCCGTGGCAGCTAAATTACTCTTTGTTGAGTAATCACTTGTATTTTTATTCTCTCTTACCCTCTGATTCAGTATCTCTTTCCATTTCCCAGTCTTCTGACTCATTCTCATCTCTGTGTTACATCTTTCCCTGCTTTCTGCCTCCTGTTCCTTTTTTGCACTCTGTGCCCCCCAGACACTCATCTTCCCAGGTAGTGTAAGCCCAGACCTAGCAGAGCAGGTGGAACACAGGCTGCTTCCAGTCTGCGTTGGTTCCATCCACAGTAACTAGTGCTCTTGGATGACCACTGGACTATTTGTTTGGAACCTATGTATCATCTACCTATCATCTATCAATCTGTTATCTCTCTATCTATCTATCATCTATCATCTATCATCTATCTATCTATCTATCTATCAATCATCTATCTATCTATCATCTATCTATCTATCTTCTATCATCTATCTATCGTGTATCTATTATCTATCTCTCTATCTCTATCTATCTATCTGTCATCTGTCTATCTCTGTCTATCTACCTGTCTATCATCTGTCTATCAATCATCTATGTATCTATGTATCTATCTATCTATCATCTATCTATTTATCATGTATCTATCTCTCTATCTCTCTGTCTCTCTCTCTCTATCATCTATCTATCTATCATCTATCTATCTATCTATCATTTATCTATCTATCTATCTATCTATCTAATCTACTTATCTGTCTATCATCTATCAATCATCTATCTATCTATCATCTATCTATCTAATTATCTATCATGTATCTAGCTATCTATCATGTATCTATCTATCATGTATCTATCTCTCTATCTCTCTCTATCTCTATCATCTATCTATCTATCATCTATCTATCTATCTATCATTTATCTATCTATCTATCTAATCTACTTATCTGTCTATCATCTATCAATCATCTATCTATCTATCTATCATCTATCTATCTAATTATCTATCATGTATCTATCTATCATGTATCTATCTATCATGTATCTATCTCTCTATCTATCTATCATCTATCTATCTATGTATCTATCTATCTATCTATCTATCCACAGCATAAATCTGGTGATTTGATTTTCTAAAATTAAGAGATAAC